TGGTTTCAAACATGAGTTCAGTAATAGCCTGCTTCAGCGAGCCTCTACGGCATGCTTGGCATACACAGTTTTGGTCACGAACTGCTCATTTGCTAATAACTTTGCACATAGTTGACGAAACATAGTTCTTTTTGAAGCAGTAGATAGAATAGAGTTTAAGCTTGTTATAGATACGTAAAGAATAGTAGATTTTAATTCTAGCAATACACTGTATTTGTTTTAGCGTTGTAAAAATGAAGTGAGAAATGCTGGCTGCACATCTCGGACTTTAAGTGTAAAAATTCATTGGTGTTGATTCAAATGTTAAGATTTACCTATTCTTTGTATATCTATAGTAAACTATGATCCTAATATATCAATTACTATAAAGAAAAACAAATTTCAACAACTGAGTGAAAAGTTATTAACAAATGAGCAGGTGGTGTGTACAACTGTGCATGCCAAGCATGCCCTAGGGAAGGTGCCAGATTATGACATTAGCCAAAACTTGTCATGTAACACATAAAACCACATGATAAAATGAAAAAAAAAGCCGCTTCGAGTACCAAAATCCTCATTATACCTGATATATACCGGATTCCCCCCGACAGATAAAAAACAATCTGGACTTAAATCTTAACATATCAAGCAACACCTCATATGACATGAGAGTCCGTAAAAACGACCCATGAAACTTATCTCGAGTGCCTAGGACCACATTTGCCACCCCTGGACACGTTCCAAATTCTCCGGGAAATGGCCAGAGCAGGCATGGAAAATCATTTGCATTCATTTCATACATTCATTTACATTCATTTGCCTCTAACTTTTTTCATCAACAACATTCCGCAAAATGAGGTATAGAACTTTTGTAGGTTTTGTTATTAGCTACAACTTTTGCTCATAACTTAAATCTGTATCTCTTATGCATCACGAACTAGAGCGGGCAGAACTTGTTACTGTTTTTCAGTGAATGTAAAATACATTCACTTAAAAACAGTACTGGCTTCTGTTCGCTCTGGTTTGTCATGCATAAGAGATACAGATTTGAGTTATGAGCAGAAGTTGTAGTTAATAACAAAACCTACAAATGCTCTATACATCATTTCGCGGAATGCTGTTGAAGAAAAAAGTTAGAGGCAAATGAATGTAAATGAATGCACGAAATGAATGCAAATGATTTTCCATGCCTGGGCCAGAGTATTAAACCAAACCCCATCATGTGACATATCAAATTTCAAAGAAATTAAAAACTAACCTCAAAGATCGAACGTTAATCCAAATAACATTAGAAATAATATTGATAGTGTTCCGAAAAGATACGATCGATAGCAAATTTCAAATGGCGTTGTTTATAACATGTCACAAACACCACAAATTATAGAAAATTTAAGGTAGCAGTCATTATTCCAAATTTTGTGCTTTTGAAGTTTTGAAGGTTTTGAGACGTCGATAGAATATCACCTTCTTAACTATAAATATGTATGCTAATAATTCACGCTATATAGGGAAAATGGATGTAATGTCGGCCTAAATGCCCCTATTTTGGGCCCATACATAAATTCAGCAATCGACTAAATTTTCAATAGCGACCAAAAATATCCATTAGTACCGTCCCAACGACGTGTTCATCTAGATAAGATTGATAAATAGCAGATTTTTTGCGATGGGCCTAATCTTAGATCAATAGGCCAACATTAGAGCCATACTATATATATGGGTGGCCGAAAATGAATGTATTCCTTAGTCTTTCAGCTTCAATCTGATTACATTTTTACGACTGAGAAAACCTGTTCCAGTTTTTTCTTCATATGAAACATACGGCTGATTTCCAGTTGCCAATAATAGGACAGCTGGCTAACACGCAGTTCAAATAGAAAAGTTGCCGAAGTCGCCTAATCAAGCCAAAAAAATAACAAAACGTTTGAATGGCCATTGAAAATAAATAGTTATGGAAACAAAAATACTTTTAAACGATCACATAATTGAAAGAAAAACATTGGAAAACATTAAAATTACCTAAATACGCCAAATTGGTTAAATCGTAAAAACAGTCTGAGAACCCACCAAATAACCTCATTGAAATTAAAAAATATCAAAACTAGCTGAAAATGCCTAAACGGACATCAAACTTTCAAAATAATCGTTCTCAAAACATCCTAGATGTCCCTAATGACCCAAAATGGCTTAAATGTGATTCCTTGAAGTGTCCAAAAATGGCCGTATGACATCACAAATCTCAAACGCTGTTGCCACATCGCTCATGAAATTGGATCTCCCTGTTTGCTACACCGCAGCAACCGAGGAGTTCCAGTTTCATTTGTGTATGTTTGGTGGAAGCTGCTATTTGTGCTCTTGATGTTTCGAGATGACCAATCAAAAATAAGGTTTCCACAGCGATTCACCGTAAAAACTCCAACTGTTATCAAAAATGCAATATTTTTTCAATACGCAGGCATAGCACTTAATCGCAAAAGTGTAAATCCCTTTGAAATAACAGAAGGATCTTACGAACAAAATAAATTATCATTCAACCCAAAAATAAAATTCCTTTGAAACGCCCCAAAATAGATTTAAAAATGTCAAAAATGGACTTTAAAAGGCAATTGCATCCTCCCTATTCGCACAAGCCCGAAGATAGATGGTGAATACTACTTCGACTTGTTTCATCTAGTAACGACTCTCTGATGACAGTGTTGGGGAAGCAGCATATGCATGTACGTAATTGGTGGGTTTGTTAGTTATATCGACCATTTTGAACAATGGTTGACTTTTACCACTTTTTCAATAGTTCTTGTGGAAAATCAACAGTCACTAGCAATGTTGTTGAAATATTTCTGATCGATTGGTGATAAAATTATTGAAATTGGTCCAGGGACAGCTGAGTTATTAACATTCAAAATCTTCCATAATTTCGTTACATGTCCCATTTTCGGTTTTTAAAAACTGTACCCTCAAAATTAAATAATATAACAACTCCTTAACTCCAAATTCACCGTAACATAGGTAGTTTTCAGAACTACAACCAAACCCTTTCCTGCATACTTCAACCATTTGTCCTTTCGAGCTTTTGTTCCTTCGACCTTTTGTCATACATTCGTGCAGAATAGCTTCTCTGAAGATAGTAAGTGCCTGAAATGATCGATACAAATTATATAAATAAAAGCTAACTGACTTGCGCCAAAATATATATAAAGGGTGTATTCGTGGAAAATGTCACACACATATACAGCTGTAACCCATTTACCTATTATATTATTTGGTTTGGAAATTTAAAAGGATGATGGCTTAGAGAATAAATAAGTTAAAATTATGACATGATTCAAATATGAGCTTTGACTTGAATTTAGATCAAGAAAACAAAATGTTGTCTTAAAAATGTTATACAGTTCTATAAAACTACACTTTGTTTACTTTTCCTTATTGCTCCCACTAATTTGTTGAATTAATTTACCGATTGTGAATCTTTAAAGTGTGACAGCAAAAACGGTTATTGTTTGGCGTAAAATGAGCCAAATTTTAAGTGAAATTTCTAGCTAACTGCACAATTATAATATTTTTCAAAAAATATGGTTTGGTTCCAAGATTACACAGCAACAACGACGAAAAAAATTGATTTCAAACATGGGAATGTACAAAATATATTAGATAGAATGTTGTTCTCAGTAAGTGAGTAAGATACTTTTGAATTATCAACGGGTGAAAACCATGCATCAGTTGACAGTTTGGCCTAAGGCAATGCCTAGGGTCTGGCTATAGCCAAATTAATTATTACAACAATCAATTATCACATCTTGCCAATCGGTTTATTTTTATTCTTATAAAAGTCGTAGTCTCGATCGAGCGGACTGAATTGTCCGACCAAGCTCCTGCTGGCCGTTACAAACGGCATCAGCCTTATTATTTTGAATTCCATAGCTATATAGCTGATGTGTCTACATTTTCGCAATGTTGGTCTATTGTACTTCAGTAGCAATGATGACTCAAAGTGTTACTTTAATATTGAGAAGACCTGATACCTGAATATCTCAGTCAATTTAAATACAAGCGATAATTTTTGGCTCAATAGTACTTATTTAATACATTGTTCGAACCGCAAATGGATGCATCGTTCAGTGGCGTTTTAATACTATTTTAATCCCGCTGGTGCATTCCACCGAAACCGGTGCGAGCGGCGATGCATGTCCCACACCATAAACATTACACCCAAAACATGCGACATCTGGTTGGTGCTCGGTTGTTGTTTCTCCCGCACCGCATCAACGCAGGTTGAAAATTTATAAAAAGCCTAGCCACCAGAGCTGAGCTGCCCGATACTTTCAAGGGGACCAAGGTTGTTTTTTTCGCTCTCACAAGATTCCCATGCGTCCATTCGAATGCTGCTTCTTCTTCTTCTTCTAGTTTGCTGTCTTGAAGCGCTACCTTGATCTGTTTATTTGCTCAAGCTAGCAACGGTGTGGTGTTTTCTATTTTTTCGCTCGCATACGGCACATCAATCTATCAGAACGATGAAATGGTCTACTCGGGGAATGTTTACGAAAATATGCATCATTTGTTGTAATTGAGAGCGATTTATTGTCCATGTCTACTGCATCAGTGCGCGGCTGAGAAAAAAAAAAGAGCATCGTAAAGTTAACGTGAAATTTGAAACCGTCTGTGCTAATGAACGTAACAATTTCGAACATCATCTCAATCACCATCTACAAGAATGAATCAAACACAAACTCTCAAAGCATCGCTCATCACTAGACTTTGAACAACCTCAAACGAATAATGACTCATTGATCTTGTGTACATCATTGCAATGGTGATTCGCTGCACTACTATTCCCAATATCCGCTCAGATCAAATGTCATCCGATCAAACGCGCGGTCAAACGAACTTCGACCTAAGAGCGACAAGCCGCCGCTTCCGTTATATTTAGCCGAGCGATGACGGCGGACGCACTAGTTTGCCCACAATGTACCTCCTGTACAACCGGTGACTAATGCCTGTTTCCTTTCTCTTCTCTTTCTCTATAGCAAGCAGACCAGCATTGAAATCGAACAGCTGAATGCTCGTGTCGTTGAGGCCGAGACTAAGCTGAAGAGCGAGGTTCAACGCATCAAGAAGAAGCTGCAAATCCAGATCACTGAGTTGGAGATGTCCTTGGATGTTGCCAACCATACTAACATCGAACTGCAGAAGACCATCAAGAGGCAGTCGGCTCAGCTGACCGAAATCCAAGCCCACTACGAAGAAATCCAGCGTCAACTGCAGTCCACCGTTGACCAGTACGGTATTGCCCAGCGCCGCATCCAGTCGCTCACCGGTGAGCTGGAGGAGATCCGTGTCAACTACGACTCTTCTCTCCGTTCGAAACGCCAAGTCGAGGTTCAGCTCGAGGAGGCTTCTTCGCGCATCAACGACCTCACTGTCTGCAATGCCAGCTACGCTTCTCTCAGAACTAAGCTCGAACAGGAGCTTAGTGTTCTGGCCTCCGACTACGAGGAAGTTTCCCGTGAACTGCGCGTCAGTGATGAACGCTACCAGAAGGTCCAGGTATGAGCGATATTCTACATCACCCCAAGTACACATAGTAAGTACTTTCACCAATCACTATCCACTTTTCCAGGTTGAACTCAAGCACACCGTTGAACTGCTGCACGAAGAACAGGAAAGAATTGTCAAGATTGAAACCATCAAGAAGTCCTTGGAAGTTGAAGTCAAGGTATTTTAATTCTACCTTAAATCGACCCTCTTCTCACACTACTTCCCATACTTTTTAACAGCAACTTTCAGTTCGTCTTGAGGAGGTTGAAATTAACGCTGTCGCTGGTAGCCGTCGCATCATTGGTAAGCTTGAAGCCCGCCTGCGGGACATTGAATGCGAGCTTGAGTCAGAAAGAAGGAAGCACTCCGAAACCATCAATATCCTGCGTAAGAAGGAACGCTCCGTCAAGGAAGTGTACATCCAGATCGAAGAAGACCAGAAGAACCTCCAGATCCTGCAGGATGCCCTGGAGAAGGCCAACCTGAAGATTGCTGCCTACAAGCGTCAGCTAGTTGATCAGGTAAGCCCACTCTCGACTCCAGACTACCCAAACAACTCAATTCTTCTAATTATGATTTCTTATCCTGTCTTAGGAACAATGCTCTCAGCAGTCTGTCACCAAGGTTCGTCGTTTCCAGCGCGAACTGGAAGCAGCCGAGGACCGTGCCGATGTGGCTGAGAGCAACCTGACTATGGTCCGCGCCAAGCACCGCACCTTCGTCACCACCTCCACCGTGCCCGGATCGCAGGTCTATTTGGTTCAGGAATCTACTAGAACCATCAACGAGACGTCGTCGTCTTAAATTCTTGAGGAAGAGGAACGCCTCTCAGACAAGTCACGAAGCCATTCGAAGCACTAACATCTGCCGGACACAATGGCAAAATGCACCACATGATCTTTCATTTCAATCATTTCCGTTCCGTCTTTTGTTCTCTGTCCGTTTACCGGTTTATGTTTCACAATGTCATTATCGTCTTTAGTTCCATGTGCTTTTAGTTCTCTGTATAATTCACCACACCAACGAATCTATGAAACCTAAAAAAATGTAATCTCTTTATATCGTCACCTGTTGAGACCACCATAACAGCAGGTCATATATGTCACACAATGATTCCCAGAAGGCAGAAAACCGCCGAACGTGAAGGAATGCGAATCTCTTACAATTACGACAAATTTAATTAAAAAAAACCGCATAAAACTAGCCACCACCTTTGTTATAAGAATACATACTAGATGAGAGGAAAAGGAAGAGAGAAAGAACACCAAGAAACCGCCTTTTTTATAAATACATGAATGCTAGCAAATTTACCAACCACAAGCAGTAACAATTATTCAAAGAAGATCAAAATATTATATTACTTTTGTATGATATGAATCTTTGTAATAAATAAATATTATTAAACAAATAAAAAAACAAGAAAAAGAAAAATAAGAAGATAGTGAACCAAGAATCGGAATGAGAAATTGTCCATGCAGCTTATAATCTATGTCAAGGACCAATATCTAACATGCTGATAAACAATTAACCATGATGTTACTGATTCTATAGAAGAATGGAAGATTATTTAAGTTATGAATGAACAAATTTAAATATTATAAAAAAGTCTACAAAAAAAATAATAAAATTAACTAAAACTTTAAGCACTTATTTCATTTCAACCTCCAAACAAACGCGTGTGTGTGTGTGTGTGTGTGTGTGTGTGTGTGTTTTTTTTTTCTTTTTTTTTGGCAAGGAGTAAATCTTCAAAAAGGCCATCATGCCACCGCTTGACGCCTTGCCTTGGACGCCTTGCCCTTTTCCCCCGGAACCACTTGTCGTATTACTTCGGAGGGGGCCGTGTATTACGCACCTCACTTTACCTCAGCTAATTGGCGCTTCTAGTTCGCTGATCGTCTCTTCTATTGGTGAGCCATTTAGCTCCCAGCGTCGCGTTCTACTGGGTTAACCCCGGTGCTGGATTCAGCCTACTCTGACGGAGAGCTCTCTCGGCTTCGGCTTTCACTTCGCACTTGTATGAGCACATTACTACTTTCTAGCTGGTCCTCTCGCCATTTTCGCTGCAGCGCTGACATGATCTGCGTTACTGCTCTGCTGACGGCGTTAAGGTGCCCTCTTCTCGACACATTTCTTCGACGACATTCTCCGTGCTAAGGGCGAGCATCTCCTCCCGCACAGCATCAAATCTAGGACATTCGAAGATCACGTGCTCTGGTGATTCTTCCACATTCCCACACTCCGTACAGAAAGGTCGAAAGAATCGGTATTAGCATGTGTGTTCATCTACCGTTCTCTGCTGCATCCCACTCCTGCTCGTACTCCTCTGGTTTCTCTCGTCATATAGCACTCGTAGTCCTCCACCAAGGTGATGCCGATTGGGATCATACCGGCGATAACGCATACTGCCTCCATCGAAATGGTTCTGTACGCAGTCACGACTCGCATGGCCATGAGCCGGAACGTACTGCTCAATTTCCTTTGGTTCTGCTTCATTTTCATCCGGCTTCAATCCAGGCTGGACCTCCGTACCTTAGTATAGATGTGGACACACTAGCCAGAAGACGCCTCTTGCTGCTTGGATCAGAATTGTTCGGCATGATTCTGGCTATTGCGTTGATGACCTTCGCCGCCTTCTCGCCAGCATATTCGATGTGGCTGTTAAAGTTTAGCCGGTCGTCGATCATCACTCCCAGATACTTCAGCACGCGCTTCGAAACAATGGTGTGCTCTCCAACGGTGATTTCTGCCCGCTGCACTGCTTGTAGTTACTGACCAACATCACTTCTGTTTTGTGGTGGGCTATCTGCAGCTTCGCTCTTTGCATCCAGTTACCAATCGTATCTATCGCCTCGGCCGCCAGCATTTCCAGCGCCTCACCGGTTACCGTCAAGACGACATCGTCCGCAAATCCAACGATATCAACTCCTTTGGACAGCTTGAGCGTCAGCACACCATTATACATTCCGTTCCACAGCGTGGGACCTAGAATGGAGCCTTGTGGAACTCCCGCCGTGATTCTAAGCGATTTCTGGCCCGTGTCTGTCGCGTAGACCAGGACCCGGTTTTGGAAGTAATTACTTAGAATCCTGCAGAGGTAGTCTGGAACCCTCATTCTATGGAGCGCCTTGGCGATGGCCTCCCAGCTGGCGCTATTGAATGCATTCTTCACATCAATCATAATCACGGCACAGTATCGATTTCCTCTCCGCTTATGTTTGGAAGCTTTCTCGGCTCTAACAATAACTGTCCGAATTGCATCCACCGTCGATCTCCCTTTACGAAATCCGAACTTCCTCTCCGACAATCCGTGTTCACTCTCCGTGCATTTCGTCAGCCTGTTCAGGATGATCCTCTCCAAGAGCTTTCCGACAGTATCCAGCAAGCATATTGGCCTATCCAGCTTTCCATGCTCGGTAATGGCGGCCTGTTTGTGTGAATAAATGTGTCCTTCACTGTGCTTTTTAACACTATCTGGAGGTTGAAATTTTGACCCCTCCCTTTCCCTCTCCCAGGAACAGAAGAAAATGGAACAACATACGCCCTCCAGTTAGTGTCAAAAAGCACAGTGAAGGATACATTTATTCATACAAACAGGTCACCTTTATCGAGCATGGTAAGCTGGATACGATGCAAGATCCCCCGGTGGTTTTCCGGGCTGTGGCAACAGCATAAGCTTTTGTACCTTCCACCTATCAGGGAACTGACCCTCGTCCAGACATTTCTGCAGCACCATCCTGAACATGTCCGGGAACGTCTGGATTGCTGGCTCATGATCCCAGAAATAACGAAAGCACAAACGAAGTGACAGACGACTAACTGGTGAAGAAATCCATTTAAATAATGTGGTCACTGTAATAGAATTTTCTTGGAAGCTTATGCCATCATCCACCAGATGGGTTAGTTTTTTTGTTTTGATTTGTACAAAGTTGATTTTGTGTACAATGATTCTTTGACAGCACAGAAAAACAAAACTACCCAACGCTTGGGTTTTTTAAACTCAAATTTGAGTTATTTGACCTCTGCCCGTTTCATTTCCTCTCGCTATTGTTGTAAAAAATAGAACGAAAGATTCGACTCAACCGTCTAGTTCCGTACGAGAAGCCAAAATTGAGTAATATGCGATATACCCAAATTTGAGTTAATTGAACTTAATTTTGGGTAGAAAAAATTGAAAATAACTTAGCGATGGGTAATTTTTTTTGCCGTGCTTAAATGCAAACTACTTTGAGCCGGTTTACCCAAATTTGGCTTATCGTACGGAACATGGGAGATGAGTGAAAAGAACTTAATTTTGGGTTGTTTTGAATTTCTGTGAGTGTGCAAAGAGTGCGTATCATTTTGTCATTTTTTTATGCATTTCAGTTTTGAGTAGAGTGAAAGAGATAGAACCAAAACATTCTACACAGAAAAACAAAACTACCCACCGCTTGGGTTTTTTAAACTCAAATTTGAGTTATTTGACCTCAGTCCGTTTCATTTCCTCTCGCTATTGTTGTCAAAAATAGAACGAAAGATTCGACTCAACCGTCTAGTTCCGTACAAGAAGCCAAAATTGAGTAATATGCGATATACCCAAATTTGAGTTAATTGAACTTAATTTTGGGTAGAAAAAATTGAAAATAACTTAGCGATGGGTAATTTTTTTTGCCGTGCTTAAATGCAAACTACTTTGAGCCGGTTTACCCAAATTTGGCTTATCGTACGGAACATGGGAGATGAGTGAAAAGAACTTAATTTTGGGTTGTTTTGAATTTCTGTGTAGTACATTTGGTGAAAATGCTGTTCAATCTAGTAGTAGTGTTGCCATGTGGTACAATCCAATAGTAGTGGTGCTGCCATGTGGTACACTGAAAAATTGCAATAGCAGGTGCGTCACCAAAGTTTTCGAGCCGCTCCGTCTGTCACTTTGTTTGTGACGAAAGTTTCGCTTTTCAGTCCACAACTGCAGATTGCTTTTCAGACAAGGAACTTTTTGGGGAATTTCGAATTCTTTTTGATTTTACATTCTTGCGGGGAACTCTTCGGTCAACCGAGGTATAAAATTCCTGCCCAGGAATTAGATCGAAAACTGCCAGGAGCGGATAGACCGAGATTTTCGTTTCGAGCGTGCAGGATCGAATCGCGACGTGCTTGCTCCGGTGAAGCCATGTTGTAATCAAATGATCTTATCCTGATAACAAATGCCTACTATTATTCTATACACTCTTAACTTGATTCAGTGAAATTTGGAATAAAAATTACTCAAAAAATGTCTTAATGGCAGCGTTTTTAATGTGTCCGGATTTTTTCGTGTTCAACCTTTAAACCCCTTACTCACTGCCACTTTACATATCAGAATCATTACGAAATCCGGTTTTCCTCTAAAAAAAATGCTGTAAGTCTCAGAATCTAGCTAAGTTTGTTCAAGCTTACGATATCGAAACCTTTTTTTAATCTTAAAAATTGGTTGTGAACAAAATTTTGTCGAGTTTTTTTTTTCCAAGGATAATTATTTTGTGAAATTTTTATGAAAGTTTTGATTAGGTTAAATATATTATAATTATTAAAAAAAATATTTCGTTTGTTTTTAATATTCATGATTTTTTTATGAAATGACTGTCTAGGAAGGATTTTTCAATTTTATCTTAGCCTTAGAATATTGACAATTTCGTTGACTTTTATTTGTATTCGAAGAATTTGTACTTATAATCCATATCAGAGATATCTATTTACTTAGTTACAAAATCTTGAAAACATTTGGGTTTGGGATCTCAAAGCAATTTTTTTTAACATTCAGAATGTGTATGGACATATATCATGATCATGAACAATTTCCTATGTTCTAAATGTATGAAATTTATTCTGTGTGCCCTTTACCATGTTTAAAGCCAGCATTTTGTAAAATTAAAAAAAATTCAAACTCCTAGAATTTGATTTTGGTTCCGTTGTAACGGCTATCCAGCTTTCCATGCTCGATAATGGAGGCCTGTTTGTATGAATAAATGTATCCTTCACTGTGCTTTTTGACACTAACTGGAGGGCGTATGTTGTTCAATTTTCTTCTGTTCCTGGGAGAGGGAAAGGGAGGGGTCAAAATCCGAACATCCATCAGCTAGTGTCAAAAAATCACAGTGAAGGATACATTTATTCATACAAACAGGCCGCCATTAACGAGCATGGAAAACATGGAAATGGAAAACTCTTCTATAAAGCCTAGTATACAGATCGAAGCGAAACGAAAATTGATGAAATTTCGCTAGCGAAAAACTGCCGGTGGAAGCATAACTGTCCCATGTTCTATGGAGCATCCATATAACATGGGACAGTTATGCCTCCACCGGCAGAAAAGGTTGTGAAAAAATGTTTGTGGAACATTTTCCAGTTTCCTTTTTTCGCAGTTTACAGTTCATGTGAAACGAAATCGGTCAGTTTACACCTCCGGTGAAGTGAAAATCTGACAGATACGCTCTTTCTCGAAACGTCAACTTTTCGCTTACCTGCTGCTCTTTTCGCTACCCTAATAAAAAATAACCATAAACGAACGATAACCCAAATCATTGAACTATTCCACAAATGGTTGGGATGATACCCAGAACACGTCGTTAAGCAAATTAACCATACAATTTTTATTAGGGTAGCGCTGCATGCGCGAAAAAAAATGAACGTAAGCGAAAAAGATACGATCCACAAAATAACATTTCGCTATATCGTATCTGTTTACAGTTCAAAGCGAAGTGAAAAATTTTCCAATTGCGTTTTTCACGGAGGTGAAAAATTTAGTATTTTGTATGAGGTTTTCGCTTCACTTCGATATCTATACAGGCCTTAAAGCTGTCCACGAGACAGTTGCGATCAGCTGACTTTTTTGTTTACCAAGAACTTTTGACAGATCACAGTAGAACTGGCAGTTTATTCTCATATGAATTTCTACTTTGTTTATGTTTACATTCAGCACCATGAACACCAGATCACTCTAGATTTATAGCTGTCAGTTCCACTGAGAAACGTCTCTTGGATCACCTTATTATCAATTCTGTTGGGGTCCACACAAAATGAACGATTTAGACAACCTTTAGAAGAATGATCTTGGTGCCGTGCGCTGTCATTGGGACCGATAGCACCAAAGGAAGGATAGCACCGTTAACTTTTACGTTGTACACGGAGATGAAAAACTACCCAAAATTAAGTACTTTTCCTCTGATCGAATGAAATCTCAGACCATTCAAAACGAAACATCGAAATCACTTTTTCGAATGATAGCTGCAACCGGATGACGGTTGTTTTGAAATCAGATCGATCAGATCGACTACAGGATGAAAATTGTTATGGAGCCGGAGACGAACCAGCGTTCGGCTGAAAGTCTCCTTAATACAGATAACTAAATAACTAAAATTGGCTGAATGTAGTGTTGAGTATTTGGCACTGATGAAGTCTGCAAGTAGTAGACGAAATACGCGTATCTGTCAAAAGATAAGGAATTATAACGGAATTTAAAGGAAATAAACCAACCCACTCAAAGCTCTTCATAACTAAAATTGTTATGAGAAAGGATAGGGCCTTCAATTGAAATGCGTAATGCTCTCTACAGAATGATGGTCACACTAAATGGAAATGGATATGATATTAAAGCCCTACAGTAAAAGTATGGACGACTGTCACCACAAAACTGAAAAAAGCTGTTCCAATCGAGCAAAGCGGTGCATTTTGACGGTTCGATTGGAACAACTTTTGACAGACGTCCATACTTTTACTGTAGGGCTTTATATGGTATTGGTTCAGCCCTATAACGCAAATCATTCAAAACGACGATGTGAATAATTCTATCGAACGTCATAATTTCCTGATCTGAGCTGGCAAACGAAGATAGGTAAAGCGTGAAAACCAATGTTTGGCTTATACGTGGTGGAGGAAGTTTCCTCTACCATCGAAGAATTTTTTTTATCTATAATTGGAATGGCTGATTATGGCTATTCAGTATGGAAATTTAGATAATCAAGTTATAAATCTAATTAAAAGCTCTTGCATGTCACACTTTTCTTAAATGTTTGTCCTATGGATGTGCATCATCACGAATTCAACCACAAGAAAATCAAAAGGCTCGAGCAATGCAATAATCATTCGAAGTATTGCGGATGTTTTGGTTCAGTGTAGTTTGTTTACAAATTTTATTCCGTACTTTAAAAGCACAAGCGTGGTCTTGCCCGGTTGATCAATTGTAATTTTTCATGCAGTATTTTGAAAAGTAGTTCAAATTTTAAAACTTAATGATGAAGTTTGCCATCGAATCAGTATCAAAATGTTGTTCAGCTCGCTTAGGTAGCTTAAGCACGAAAAATGCATTTTCGAATGTGACGCTCCCAACACCGGGACTGGTGCTGCACACGAAGGTATGTTTTATTACTTGAAAGGTTTAAGCCCAGTTCAATTATAATCTATTGTTGCTGGAACAATTCCAGGGCGGCAGTGTACCGTATCTATCGAAAGAGGTGCTTCATTATTTGACTACGGAACCGCAGGTGATGCTGTACTCCCTCACCAATACAGATCACATGGAGGAAGCTGTCCGTGCCTGTGGTGATGGCATTGCCAGTTTCGTTGGTCAAAAGGAATCTATATCCATGCTGGTCTTGACTGATCCTGCTGAGCTTTGTAAACCCAACTTTCACGAGAAGGACTTAGTCCCTATCTTTAGTCGAAGTGGACGGAAAAACTTCACATCCGAACGATACATGCAACTAGTGGAGGCTTTCAAGCCAGACATTTATGTTCCGTTGTTTGATGGCGACACCGATAGCGAGAGTTCGAAGAAGCGTTTGCAAAAGTCTCTGGATAGAACTGAAAAATTCATAGAACAGTGTCTAGAGGTGCACCGGAAATCGGAAAGCTTGAAACAGTCGGGTTTGATTGGACCTGTTATGGGAGGATTCGATTTGAAGCTGCGGATGAAGGCGACTGAGTTTCTGAATCAATTTAAAAATGATTTCAGCGGATACCTAATAGCAGGGTTGCATTCCAATGGTTTATCAGCTACTGAACTGAACGAATGTAGCCTTTTGGAGGTAGTGGCGCAAGTATGCCCGCAACTGCCAGCAGAGAAAACCAGATTTATGCTTGGCGCATTTAGCCCATTAATCATTCTAAGGCTGGTTGCTTTGGGAGTTGACGTGTTCGACACGAGTTATCCTTATTTGAAATCGCAACAGAACCGTGCATTGGTTTTCAGTTATGACATCACTGAGGAAGATGTCGAAAACCGTGAGATTGAACTGGATATGAAAGACCCTAGGTGGGCGGAAGATTTTACAGGATTCAACAAATCTTGCACGTGTTTGGCATGTGCTAAACATACGAAAGCTTACACGCACCATCTGTACAATACACACGAAATGTTGGGTCCGATTCTATTGATGTTGTAAGTACTAGTGTACTTTGACTCAAATGTAATGCTTATACTTACTAATAATTTCAGGCACAACATACACCATTATTTTGAATTTTTCAAAGCCATTCGGAAACACGTCCATGAGGATAACATCGAAGAGCTGATTGATCATTTGAAGAAACAGAAGGATTCTGCTCCGTTCGACGAAAAGACAGGAATGGCCAAATCAGATCTAATTAGTTCTGAAGATAACGTAACCAAGAAATTAAAAATTTCTTAATTTGCAAAGTAGACTAACGCATAGTTCAACTGTTTTTTACCTAACGCTCCTAGATATGCAACCAACTTGTTCATTCTTTTTCGGCATAAATGACTGAATGTAAGATAAACAATTATATTATAGCTCAGAGTAAAAATTTATTCAAACCCCAAATGTTAATGTGGCATGTAGCCATCCAACAACTCGCTTACCTTTACTTCTGAGCGGGCACCTTCCCTTGCGTCTCCCGTTCAGCCGCCCGTTGTTTGGCTTTCTCGTACAGCGGCATTAGCTGACCATTCTGGGCCAAAATTTTCAGCAGTTCTACTATCAGCGGCAAATAATTATGCTTCCTGCGAATATTCTCCACCTTGTATCGCTTACGCTTGGCCACCTCATCCTCGATCAACATTCGCAGTCGAGTGATTTCATTCTGCTTAGTATCGGTCTCCATTTCGTCTTCACCACTGGACTGCAGCAATTGATCAACCTGACGCTGATAGATCATCTGCCGGTCAGAAACCAACGCCATCAGATTGAAGTGAATTTCACCTTCGCTGTATTTCTGAATACGCTTTTCGATTATGGGCCGCACAACGTTTAGCCAATCTTCCCCGGCGCCAACAGCACCCAAGTCAATTGGACCTTCCTTCAGTCCATCCAATTCATACAGTCTACCATCGATAGGAACGTACCCAACGAAATGGAACACATCCTCGTCCTTGTTAGCTTGTTTGTTGTCCAGTTCGAACAATGTCTGCCTTGCGAACGAATTATGTACCGTGCGAATTTGGGAAGCATTACTCATAGCCAAACCCTTATTATAGGCATCGAACGAGACACAAAAGTCCTTGAAATCGGCCAAAGTTGATCCAAGTTTTATGTCCGAATGTTTTGCGTTGAGTAGAATGCTGAGAATTGCTTGAGTTGCACAGGCATTGTTGATCACCTGCTTGGCAAAGAAAATTTTCTCCAAACGACTGTCCTGAACGATAGATCCCGCCGGCTCGTCGTCCTTGACCCATTTGAACAAGAAAATCAACCCATGAACAGGTTCAAGGTTCTTGAAGTGCTCCTCGTCCAAACTCCACAGTTCCTCCACCTGTACTCCCTCAACATCTTTGGGATTTCAAAACGAAATACGTCAGTCTTTTTCATGCGACAAGCTAAACAATAGAACAATGGAAAACTTACCAAATCCACGGATTAGTTCCGTGAAAACTCCCGGGTCGCTCTCGATCAGACACCACTCGCCAGCACTATCAGCCATCGCTGTTGGTTATCTTTCCAAACGACGGCAAGTTGAAAGCTGTTTTTTGGCTATGCCCAGATGCAACCACGGACTGCCGTATTAGTTGCAAAGATAATTCACTTAAATTGAAAGAAATCAGTAAGATATTTGGAATAAAACAATTTAAACTCGTCAATTATTGGACAACACAAGAGAGGCAACGAGTCTCGCTGATGAGCTTGAAGCTGAGTTCGCTATTTTTTGACAGACCCGCGATGCATTTCTCTCTTGTCACGCTTGTTTTCCAGCCAAGATTGTTAGAGCTGGGTGGGATATTAATGCGAGATGCATCGCAAAGGTCGTAATCTCAAACAACAATTGAAAAAGGCCTATCAGTTTTTAAACACAAAACTTTCCCAACTTCCCCAAATCAACAGCAGCATAGAAACTTTTCTCTACACTATGACGTTGTTGGTTTGCGTAGGCGTCCCACGCTGGGCTTACAAAGTTTTGTTTTCAAAAGCTGATGAGCCTTTTTTAATTGTTCGTCGCAAATGATCGCTATTTTATAGTACGAGAAATACTCAGAGGGAGATGAGCGGTTTTGAGCCAAATGAACTGCCAAAATCTGAGCCAATCGAACATTCCCATTAGATTTTATCCGAGTATTTCTTATTCTTATTAGCATAAATTTAAGAGTATTGCAATCGAACAGAAATTCAATCACCTTTGTTTTCGTGTGCTGCTCAAATTCAACTACACGGATAGAAATCTCCTTATACCTTTTGGTAAATTTCTATTGCTGATTATTCATAAAATGTATAAGTCAACTAATAAGCAGACGCCTTGCAAAAAGCTAATGAAGATCATGTGTCAAATGAAATGTATAAGCGGCCACACATACCTTTTATGCATTCTTATAGGACCTATGTGGTTTGTCTAATGGAATGCATAAGGCTGATGTTTTGACAAAAATGTATAAGTGAAACACATGAATAAAATAATTGATTTTCGTTTCGTTTACGCAGAAAAAAAAAGTTGTTGAATATTACATCCAAACTGCTGCAACCAGGTCAATCCATCGGTTGTGTAATATAACGTTGTACGATGTACATCGATTTTGCGAACAAAATTACATCCATTGATGTAATATTGTATCTGCTTTTTGCTATTACATCATTATTTCATACATCAGCTTGAATAAGATTGATCGATATTACATTTGTTTTTTGCTGTGTAGTTTTTGGAATTAGAAACAATATTCTAACTCTATTGATTGTTCTTAGTGATCTTAGTTGGTTAATAATGGCACCAAAAAATGTGCAAAATATTGCGATGCAGTTAATTATTATTTTGCACGTAAATCGAATCAAAAATAAAAGTCATCTAAAATACTGGCTTCTAGCAAGGGTTGCAAGAAAATTTAGGTACAAATCTCTGCTCCCGAATTGTATTTTGTTTTCTCCGCCTATCTCTCCCCCTGAGTTTTTCTAGTCTGAACGATTGATAAAGTCACTACCCTCGTTGAAATACATGGATTTTCAATGTGATATCAATAACGTTCTCTGACTGTTTTTCAAAGTCTTGAAATATGAAAAGGTTTATTCTGCAGATCTCAGAATCTAAAATGTTGTATGAGAAGTTTGCGGGTAGAAAAAAAAGTGAATAAAAGTTGAAGGCTAATCATCACTTGTGACTTGGGTTCTTTAAGGGTATTGAGGTTAATGCATATTTGTAATCTGCGTTAAAAATAGAACCGAAGTCCAAAATTTCGTCAATTTTAATACACTGAAACATCACCATTTAAGCACCCCTCAGTGAGACCATAAGGTAGTTTAGTGTCAAACAGTAAAGTTAATATTTTGCTTTAAATCTTGATTTAAAAATCGAGATGATAGTCTATGGGTTCCAAAAAAAAATATTGTTGTGCTCAGAAAACGAAGCGCTTTCCGAAGGTGTATTAAAACCAAAACATTTTTCAAAATTAAAGAACCCAATAGGCAAGATTAAATTAAGAAATTCAAAGTCAAAGTTTATTTTATAAAATCTGGAAAAATATTGCATTTCCTCCATGCAATGCAAAAATGATTGCTCCAGTATTAATTTTATTACGTACCTGGGGTGGGCCAGCTTTAGATCTTGGAGGGAGTAAGCCTCCTCCCCTTATTTACGCCAATGCATTGCATGCTTATAGGGGCTGATGCATATATTATGTCACGCTCTAAGGGGGGGAGGGGGGTGGTCTAAGATTTTGTGACAAGCAATGCATTAGGTATAGGAAAAACGTCACGATAGGGCGGAGGGGGTAATTTTTTGCTCGATTTAGCGTTAAATGCTTGTGGTTCTAATGTACCAAAATTGATGAAATTTTGGGTTTGGGCAGATTACGAATATCGATTTATCTCAATACCTCTAAAGAACCCAATTAAGTCACGCCTCAAAATATTCACACTGTTTTCAGCATACATTGGTTCGTTTCGTTGCTACACTTTCCAGTAGCAAGAGTGCATTCCAGGGTGGCGTATCGGAAAACGGTTTGTTTATATGCTATTCCATTTGTACTATGACCATCGAATATTTTATTTTAAAGCCAAAACAACCCGCAATATTGGCAAATCAAAGTTGGCACTCGTGGAGAATAGATGAACTATGAAAGTGATGATGGTTTCAAAATTTTACACGGTGAGGTATACGAGTTCAATCTTAAAATGCCTTTATTTTGCAAATGGAGCATTTTATTTAATTCTGGTTAATGCTACGCTAGTAGAAAACTTAAGGACTACTTAATAGACACATAATATAGAAAAATAATTTCTTTTCAGATTTTTAGGTGTAGACATAGATTTCAGCTTTTCTACAACTGTAGCAGCAACCAGAATTAAATAAAATGCTCAATTTGCAAAATAAAAGCATTTTAAGATTGCATTTGTATACCTCCCCGTGGAAAATTTTGAAACCATCATCACTTTCATAGTTCTTCTATTCTCCACGAGTGCCAACTTTGATTTGCCAATTAAAGAACCAAAAATTTAGCTGCATTCTCGGCTGCGCTTGGATTTATAATAACAGTGAGGTGTATCCACCAATTTTGGATTTACCACACAACGTACAATCATCGCCTTTCTCTATCTAGCACACGGGTAAGAATGTATTCAATGTTTTTCCCACTAATCTGTTCCCTCTTAAAGCCTGGTACGCAGCTGAAAAGTAATGACGTTTTTACGTGCTACGGGATAGGACACGGAATGCTAAAGAAATTTCTTTTCCTTAGCATTTCTTGACCCAGTACGCAGTTCAAAAGAAATCGGTAAAGGAAAGATCGATTACATTAGTATCGTGATCGATATGAAGGTGGCGCATTCTGAATGCAATTTCACTTTCCTTGCGGAATAATGGTCTGACCAATTATTCCGTTAGGTAATTTTAACGTTTGTTGTAAAAATGATGTTTTGGATGCATTTTATCAACATAAAAATTGATAATTGTTGATTTTAAAATTAGGCGACACCTACCTATGATCTCAAAATTTAGCAATAGACACCTCCCTATAGCTGTCAAATTTACTTTTGGGAATATTCCTCAAAAATTACTTTTCCGTTTTCTTTTCAGCTGCGTACCAGGCTTAAAGCCTGGTACGCAGCTGAAAAGTAATGACGTTTTTACGTGCTACGGGATAGGACACGGAATGCAAAAGAAATTACTTTTCCTCAGCATTTCTTGACCCAGTACGCAGTTCAAAAGAAATCGGTAAAGGAAAGATCGATTACATTAGTATCGTGATCGACATGAAGGTGGCGCATTCTGAATGCAATTTCACTTTCCTTGCGGAATAATGGTCTGATCAATTATTCCGTTAGGTAATGTTGGCGTTTATTGCAAAACTGATGTTTTGGATGCATTTAAACAACATAAACACTAATAAGTGTTGATTTTACAATCTGACGACATCTCCCTATAATCTCAAAATTTAGCAGCCTATAGCTGTCAAATTTTCTTTTGGGAAAAATCCTCAAAAATTACTTTTCCGTTTTCTTTTCAGCTGCGTACCAGGCTTTACTCGCACTTCTAATAATTCGGTGGTGCAGCGTACTATAGTGCACGCCGATTAAATTTTGCCTTTTTTAAATGATAGTCTAGAATTGTTTAAAAATTTATTCAGAAATTCCCATCTTTTATAGTTTACATTATTTTACTGGAAATTAGTTGACAGCTCTGCCTATCATCGTCATCATCATTCCTGATGATGACAGCTTGTTATTTTTTGAGAAAAAATGCACTGGAAAGCTCCGCGTAAGAGATAGCAACAAAAGTCACTCTCCTTCTCTTTTTTCCTTGTATGCCGTGCAAATAAAAAAATTCCCTACGCGAAGAGCAGAAAGAAAAATTTTACTAAGGTGAAAAGTGCGTAATTTCTGCAGCAAATAGTTCAAATCCGGCCGTAAAACTATCGTAACAATGTGGCCGCGATGGCGTGGATGAGATTGATTTAGAATTCAATCCAATCTGAGTAGTTTCCGTTGTGTAATTTGTGAAATAAAAATCTGTGTTGGATAGGCTGCTGGCAAGCGATTCTTTTCTCTGCCTACCGTGGAAGAAGAGAAAAAATCAAAATGGTTGTATCGAAGGATGGCAAGCGGCGAAGAAAAGTTGGATCCGCAGCGGCTGTCGGTGCCAATAATTCTAGCAGTGCAACTAATAATAGTAACAGTGCCACCGGAGGAAGCTCCACCGGGAATGGGTCACGTGGTGGTGGCACTGGAGCCGGAAGTGTTGCCGCGGTAGCTATCAGTGTGGCTGCTAAACGAGAAACTCCCGACATTGATCTTTCACCGCCGGAGGTTCCCAAAAGGTGGGTGGTTATCTGTAGATGTACACAACGGGGCTGGGATGAGGTTTGGTATATTTCTGTTATGCCGGAGATCGTGCATATTTATTGATTTCGTTTCTAGTTTGATCAAGAGGCGAGGTTTATTTTTTTTTGCAAGAAAAATTTTTATTCGATCTATGGTGTCAATGTTATCTTTGCCGTAAAAATGTGTATCTCTCAATCAATCAATAAACACTGTTTTTTTAGAAGTTGGCAATTTTTGCTATGTAACTCACTCCATATTGTAGGTTTTGCGTGACATTATTTTAAGATGAAAGATTGTTTTTTTTTAATTAAAAAATATCCTGTGATGTATTGTTTACCATGATAAAACTTTGATTGTACACCACTTGTTATTCAGTGATGTAACTACCCATATCCTCTAAATGCCAGATAAATGACTATCAGGACAAAGGATGTTAAATATTAAATACTTCACGACATGAATAGTAAGTTAATTACGCGGTTCTTTCTTTCTTTTAACGGGTCTTTTCGAAGTTAATTTATATCTCGATTGATCGCAGCTCGCAGTGAAACGTATTGAAACGCTGTAAAGCCTTCTTTAGCTCAGTCGGTAACGGCGCACCCATAAATAATTGGAACAGATGAAATATTTTAAATTCTTCGCATATTCCAAGCTGAACATTGCATTAGGTCCTAAGTAACATTGATCGATTCTCTTCGGCGACTTTCTTTTTCGTTAATTACTCGAGCCCATAACCGTTCCTTGTTGTGTTTGTCTTATTAGATTGCTTACTGAAGGCACTTGACGCCCAACAGCTAAGTGTAAAATTTTAGACTTGTACATTTTTAGTAACTTGACAATGCTTTCCTTATTGAAGAGCTTCATGTCGTCTGCATATATAAGTACTTTTTTAAGTATGTAGGAAATGTCGTTTACGTACAACATAAAAAGAATAGGGCCTAAATGAAAACCCTATGGCACCCAGAGGTAAACGAAATGGGTTCTGAAAGTTTATTTTGAAAGCGAACTATTTGTTTGCGTTGCGTTAAGCATGATTGGAGCCAATTCAAAAGTCAAGATTTCATTCCTATTTATTGCAATTTAAAGAGTAAAGTAATGTAGTGGTGTATGTCGATTCGGTCAAATGCTTTACTGAAGTCAGTATGAAGAGCTTCTACGTGCTTACCATTGCCCATGGTGTTAAGAATGAAGGTTACAAATTCAAGAAAATCAGATGTAGCTGAGCGTCCTTTAAATAAGCCGTGCTGATTGTTTGTAATTTGAGTTTTTACTTGTAAATTTTTTTGTCCTTTACAATTGATTCAAAAAGTTTTGGGATTCAAGAGATAATGGCAATTCCACGATAATTACGGATGTCAGATTTCTTGCCTGCCACTAAATGAGACGATTTCCAAATTTTGGGGAATTTCCCATTTTTCAGTGACTTATTGAAAAGGCGTTCAAAAGGAAGGGAAAGTTGTTCAAGAATACAAGTGCAATTCCGTCAGGTCCTGGTCCTTTATATAACTGTTCTCAGAATTTTAAAAGCTAGGTTTTTACCCAATCCTGAATTTGAATGCCTGATTTCTAGACTAACATTTGAAAAGGGCGGAACTCCAAAATTACCATATCGAGAAAATCGCTTCCGAATTTTGATGACCTAAAAATTAATCCTATTTCACGACTTTACATTTTCTGGATAATTTTATAAGCTTGACATATAGTTAATAGTGTAATCTATCATCATGCGTCACTAAAAACTCAAAAAAAAAGTTTTCTTTGTCGTGAAATTGAGAAGAAAACATTATACGCCCTGATAATTTCTTACATGTTGTTACCCCCCGGATCTTCCATCATTTGAACTGCCAACACTGGTGATACGCCGTGGAAGTACACCCTCGGGATTTTTTGTTTGTTGTTCCGCCTTGGTTCTTCGTTCGCAAATTTTGTGAGAGTGGAATTACGCCCGGAGATTTTTTGGTCTTCTTTTTGTTCGATGTTTACACGTGAAATATCAATCGGATGCGTTTCAAATGAATCGGGCGTGACTAGATACTACAGAATCAATACGTTTGGCATATTAAAACAATATAATTCGTTGTTCTGGTGCAAGGCGTAACAACCAGATGCATCATAGAGTTGAAAGCTGAAAATACGCCATGTAAGAAGAAACGTTTTCGATGATTTGAAGTGCTATTTTCTGCTACTTTTTCGTGTTTATCGAGTAGTTTGTGAACTGTTCTCTCTATATGTGGCAAAATATGGTTTGTTTACATTTTGGCTCTTCCGCCCCTTTCAAATGCTAGTCTAGATTTATCAATGTAGATAAATTCTACATTTCACAAAAATAACTCTTCATTGGAATTTTTTTGAGAATTTCCTTAGAATCATCCCAAGATGACTTCAGATTTATTTTCCCCTTTGATTCCCCTGAATTATGTTATTATTCTCTCTGTTATTGTTGTACCTATTATTGTTGTACCTAAGCGTCTTCAAAATTCTCAAAATATCTAGGAGTTTGTTTTCATGAACTTCGCTTGAAATTTGGCTAAGCATTCTCAAATCATCATCCTGGAATTTTTTATGAATTTACGATTAAACTTTGGATATTAATTGGGGAATTTTACCATTTTTAGCTGTTTCAATTGAACCGGGAAAAACAGGTATTAAAATTTCTAAATAGAGTGAATCGGGGTACATTTGTTTCAAGCGCGTTATCTTAAAAAAAAATCCAATATTCTAGCTGTTGTTGAAAAATGGTCTAGAAAACTTTTCAAGCTCTAGAGATTTCAAAGACCTGAAAAACCTTTGAAGCCCGGCATGAAAAAATGTCCAAACTCACATTTTTGAAAAAAAAACTTATGCGAAAAAATTATAGATTAATAAAAATTTATAAGATCATGAATTCTATGTTTCAGAAGCATTTAATTTTTCAAGGACTAAGTCCCAGCATTAAAAAAAAGTTCCATTACATCAGAAACAAGATCGAGAATTTAAAACATAAATTGGGTAGAGTACTACTTCATCCTAATCGCCCTTTTTGGGCCTATCAAGCAGAAAACTTCAGTTAGTTAATAAGCTATGGAACGAAGACAATGAAAACGCGTGATATGAATGTTTGCACCCATTATTCCCAAAAACAAAAGAAGCGCTCCGACCGAATCAATTTTTATCTTCATCCGATAGGCCGAAGTGAATTCATTGGCGTTTTAGTGTGTTAGGCTGAGTTTAGAATCCGTAGGCCGAGTTTGGCGTCAAGAAATAGTGTTAGACTTTTAACAATATCTCAACGATTGGTTTTTCTTTATCAAATCTTACGGTACATACGGAAAGGTAAATACATTTGGAAGCCATCAGTACTAATAACATTCCGTTTGGTGCTAATCTGCGCAAGATTAAGAAAGACTAAGTGCGGGTTGTACTTAATAGGCCGAAAATAGGGTAGTTAACCCGACATATAAATTTTTTTCTGTCGTTGTAACACGCCGATTCGTACTGTACACTGACCCGCACTCGTATCCACGTCTGTTTGATGGCACTGTCGAACACTGACTGACTCGCCTGTTGCTACTCACTCAACACCAACCAGTATCGCTATCTCGCTATCCCACTCGCTCATAGGTTCACTCATACATCGTGCTATCACGTTTCCTAATTCATACCCGGTACTGAACACTAATCCCACTCTACTACTTACCCGGTCATGATGCAATGCGTATCAATCCGTTACATCCTTCCTAATTTTTAGTTGTTTACTAAGCGTATTCTTTTTTTAGTGATGTTTATTTAGCTATTGTTTCTAACTTTTATTGTACGTTATGTTTCGTATTTAATCTACCATCTTGAGTTTATTATTTGAATTTTACACTACAAAATCATCAAATTTAGTCGGTCGTCTGCAAACCCGCTTCGTACCTGGTTTCAGAGGATCTTCTGTAGAGGTCGTGGTACCGCCTTGGATCACATCTCCGCTCGCATCTTCGGCAACTTCAGTTTCCGAATCTGTAGTGTCGATCTCCGTCAAAGGTGTTACAGCGTCTCTTAACTTCTTCAGATGTGAACTGTTCCGCTTATACGTCTTGCCAGTTCCCATTGACCTTACAGTGATCTCCCCTCCCATGATGTCTGTAACCTCAAATTCTTCAGATCCGAAATTTGGCTGATATGATCCGTTTCTGATGTTCCGCATCAACACCACGTCTCCCTTCTCCAATTTGTGATTTTTCGCCTGCCGCGCTCCGTCAGCCCTTGTTTTGTGTTGTTCCTTCTTTTCCATGTCGTGATCTCTGCATGATTCCCATTTCAAACTCGGTGGTTGATGAATAGATGGTATACGATTCCGTATCTCCCGGCCAAACATCATCTGTCCTGGGGAAACACCAGTCGTTTCTTGTGGAGTCGAATGGTATAACGTCAAGTACTCGTAGAGATCAGCCTTCCAATCTGTTTCCTGAATACAACTAATTTTGATTCGTTTTCCAATATTACGCATCTGCCTCTCCACAGCTCCATTTTGTTCCGGCCAATACGGTGTAGAGAGGTTCAGATGGATCCCGTAACTTATACAGAAATTCCGAAATTCAATCGCCTTGAATTGCGGTCCATTATCTGAAGTAATCGATCGTGGTATGCCGAACGAACTAAACATTCGCAATAGTGCACCGATTACTTTTTGTGTTGTTGCCGGCTTCATTGGTTCTATCTGTACAAACCTTGTTGTGTAGCATACGACAACTAGTAATGACACGTCCCCGGGAAGACCTTCCTTAAAATCGATCGCTAAATCTTGCCAGGGCATTGTCGGAAGTCGACGGATCATTGGATTGTGCTTATCGGGCAGCGCCGTCATCTTACACGGTTTGCAATTCCGGAGAATTGTATCCACCTGTCTATCCATGAAAGGGAACCATACTTTGGCCCTAAGCATCGCTTTCATGGATGTTCCACCTTGATGTCCCAAATGAGCCAAATGAATAACTTTTTCTCTCAACAATTTAGGAATAACGATTCTGTCACC